ATTAATAATAATAATAGATAATAGTTAATAATAATAATAATAATATACAATAAAATAATAGTAGTAATAATGAATAAGCTGTTATTATTATTTATTATTATTATTATTAATTAGTAGTCTAGTTAGTCGTAGTAGTAGTAGTAGTAGTAGTAGTAGTAGTCAGTAGTAGTAGTAGCAGTAGTAGTAGTAGTAGGTAGTAGCTAGTAGTAGTAGTAAGTAAGTAGTAGTAGTAGTAGTAATAATATAGTAGTAGCAGTAGTAGTAGCAGCAGTAGTAATAGCTGCGTATAAATAGTAGTCGTAGTAAGTAGTATGTTATGTTGTTGTGTTGTTGTTTGTTGTTGTTGTGTTGTTGTGTTTGTTGTTGTTGCTGGTTGTTAGTTGTTGTTATTGTGGTGGTGGTTGTTGTTGTTGCTTGTTTGTTGTTGTTGTTGTCTGTTGTTGTTGTTATTTTTGTTGTAGTAGTAGTAGTAGTAGTAGTAATATATCATTTTATTCTTGTGATTATTTCCTGTATTTAAGTTTAACCGGAATACGATCGATATGATGCAGACGACCTTGGTTAGCAATAAGGTCATTAGAGCACACAATCGTTATCTTCCTTGTTTGGCAAAACTCCAACGAATGAAACTCGCGCAGAGGAGGTAATGGAGGGTGAAGTAGAGGGCGACGAAAAGAAGCATGTGGGAGAGAAAGTGGTGGCGAAGGAGGGGAGAAGGAGGGGGTCACAGGAGGAGATGGGCGGATGAGGGAAGAGGTGGAGAAGGAGGAGGAGAAGGAAGGGGAGTCACATGAGGATAAGGCGAGGAGAAGGGGAGAGAAGGAGGGGAGGAGGGAGGGGGACGATTGCAACCAATATATATATAACAGATCGTGACAAGCACTGAAGCGTGCATGCGTAGCATAACTAATAGTAACCTGCCGCCTCGCTCTAGACTGATGCCGAATCCATTACCTCGCTCCGCATGAATGCACTGTGAGTACAAGGTTGCTCGAACAGCCGCTAGGCGTCAGTCTAGTTGCGTGCCTCTTATTTGAGTAATTCTGCGTGGGACAATCAGAGAACAGAATCATCAGAGTACGGCAACTGTGGTGTTTAAGGTTAGCTATGTATTCCGTTTATCTCGTCCATTCACGACAGCAACTCGATTTCAAAATTAAAAATCCGTTTTTATTTATCGGTAAATTCTTGACCGAAGAGGGAAAGCAAACGCCCCTCGTGACAAAATCTCCGCCAGGCGGCGCTGCAGCGTCAGTGCTTTGTTTTAAGCGCATCCGCTCTTGCGTGAATGCTGCCGTCATCACTAGTTCGGATGCCCGTTTTGCATATACGTAAAGGCAGTGCGTTTCTGCTGGGGGCGTTCAAGCTGATCTTCACCGTGACCCAGGTGGCCCTTTGCAACGCTTTGCGCACGCGCGACGCACCTTTGCGGGCGAGAGCGGGCCGATTATAAGTCAGTGCGCATAAGTGGTTGGAAAGTGTTAAGCAATACCTGTACCTAATAGACTGTAGGTACGTCGCTACTGCCCTGGTGGCACCGTAACCTAGACTGTGCCAAGTGCTGCTACTGCTGCTGCTACTGCTGCTGCTGCTGCTGCTGCTACTCTGCTACTGCTGCTGTCTGCTACTGCTGCTGGCTATCTGCTGCCTGCTGCGGCGCTGCTGCTGCTGCTGCTGCTGTGCTACTCGCTGCTGCCACTATCTACTCGCTGCTGGCTACTGCTGCTACTGCTGCTTGCTGCTGCTGGCTGCTGCTGCCGGTGGTGGTGGTGGTGGTAGTGGCAGTGATGATGATGATGTATGATGATGTTGTTGTTGTTGATGACGAACGATGATGATGGTGATGATGATGCGTGATAATATTCTACTGCTGGCTGCCACCTTCTGCAGTGGTGATGTCGCCCGCCGCGGCTGCTGCTGCTCTTTCGTGTTCTCAATACCTCTTTCTCTTCTGCTCTTCCTCATCGTAATCCTCTGCCTCGTATATATCAGTTTTGTCTCCTCTACCTTTGTCCTACCCTCCTCTCCCTCTCCCTCCCCTCTTTCTCATCTCCCTCTCGATCTCTCTTCTCTCTCTCTTTCTCTCTCTTCTCTCTCTATTCTATCTATCTATCTATCTATCTAATCTATCACCATCTATCTTCTATCTATCTATCTATCTATCTATCTATCCATCTATCTAAATCTTCTATCTATCTATATCTATCTATCTATCTTATCTATCTATCTATTTATCTATCTATCTATCTATACTCTATCTATCTATCTATCTCTCTCTCTGCTCTTCTCATCGGATCTCTCTCTCTCTCTCTCCTGTCTCTCTGTCTCACTCTCTCTCTCCGCCCTTTCTTCTCTCTCTTCTCTCGTCTCTTGCTCTCTCTCTCTCTCTCTTTCTTTCTCTCTGTATGTGTGTGTGGGGGGTGCGTATGTGCTCTAGGAGGTTGAGGAGTGCGTGTTAGAATCTGGCGAGGGTTTACGCACCGCGGCGGGGTTTCTACGCACCGCGGCGGGATTTTTACGCTCCGCGGCGGGGTTTTTACGCACCGCGGCGGGGTTTTTTCGCACCGCGGCTGGGTTTTTACGCACCGCGGCGGGGTTTTTATGCTCTCTGTAAACAAGATGACGAAAAATTTACGCCAATTTACAAATCTATGGACGAATACTTTTAATTAATGCTAAAGTTGTGGCGTTAATTAAACAACTATACTAACACTGAGAAACAGAGACCATAGCGAGAGGGAATGAGAGATATAAAATAACGAGCGAGGAGGAGAGAGGGAGAGAGAGTGTGTGTGAGACAGAGAGAGCGCGAGAGAGAGAGAGCAAGAGAGCGAGAAAGGGGCCACTTTTCCTCATTGTGTGTTCAGTGGCCCCTAACATTAGTTTAACAGGGGGCACGTATACTTAAGACGCGTTCACAAGAGTATGGCGAACAGCGCATTCTTTCACACAGCACACGCGTACACGCCACTGAGCGTGAGATTTGCATACACAGTCACGCGAATGTATTTGCTGTAGCGGTAAAAAGGCGGTGGTCGCGAGAGTTTTTCCTGTCCTCATTCCGAGCCGGATAATAGGTTACCTGTGAAGACAGGACACCGACAGCAGCAGCAGCAGCAGCAGCAGCAGAGAACGAAGAAATAGCGTATCGCATGCAGCCGTGTGCGAACAATCAAAAATTGGCCCAGATTGCCGGGCTGTCTGTTCCGGTGACCCGAATAGGTCTTACCTATGGTGCGTGCGCGTGTGTGCGTGCGCGTGTGTGCGAGAAGGAGAGGAAAATGTATCGTATATAAAGAGAGAGAGAGAGAGAGAGGAGGTGAGTGCAAAAGAGAGAGAGGGAGAGAGAGAGAGAGAGAGAAGAGAAGGGAGCAAAATAGAAGATAGAGAGATGTACTGACGGAAGAGGAGAGCGGGGAACGGCATGGTGATAGATAGGGAGAAAGAGGTGTGATAGATGGAGAAGGAAAAAGGGTTAAAGATGGAAATATAGTGAGAGAGAAGGGGGTATGAGACAGAATGACGGAGAAGGATGGCAGAAAGAGGGGGGATGAGAGACTAAAGAAGAAATTAAGTGAGATAAAAGAGGCAAAGCGAGAGAAGGGGGCAGACACATAAAGAGAGGAGAGAGAAGAGAAGAAAATAATGGGAAAGAGATTGCCATGTTACTGGCATCCGCCTTAGCGCCTAGGGCCGGCCTGCATGTGTCGTCTGTCCAAGCAGAAGATCTGCCCGCTCTACCGTCTACTAATCCCTTACAATTTTACAAAATCGATTATTTCTCACGAGAAAGAACCCGCCGAATCGCAGTCAATCCATACTTACTCCATATCGCTGGATTAGTATAATTTTTGTTTTTGTTAGGGGTGGGTCCGGGCGGGGAGGAGGTGTAGGGGCGGCGGGCGGACGAGCACAGAGTAGTATACATTAGCACAATGAGCACGCCTGTGCTTGTTCGATAGAGCCGTGGAAGATTAGCGGTGGGAACTGGATGTAGAAGTAAAACATCACTCCGTCATCTCCGTGTAACGCATAAATCTCCTCGCTCGTCTGTAACACACGCACCCCCCCCCACCCCCCACACACCACACACACACACGCACGCGCACGCACAGGCACACACACACACACGCGCGCGCACGCGCACGCGCACGCACACACACACACACACGCACACGCACACGCCGCACGACGCCAGCACGCACACGCACCACACACGGCACCCACAACACATCACACACACACACACACACACACACACACACACACACACACACACACACGACGCTGGGGGCGTGTGTGCGTATGCTAATGTAAAGACGCGCACAGTAAGTAGCTCACAGAGCTGCAGTAGTTACATCTCTGCTGCGTGTCCGTGCTAGCCATCGAAACTATCCACACTAGATTCCTAACCAACTAATTTGTTATGCCTACCATGTAAATATGTACTATGTTATATATATATATATATATATATATGTATATATATATATAAATATATATATAAACGTATCAAAATAGAATAGGATGTTGAATTTTATTCATTATCTCTCTTCATCAAGCTATGAAAAAAAATACGTGAATGAGTTCGTGAACGGATGTTCTTTTGTTTGTTGGTAACAGCCCTGAGTTAAAACCTCACATGACATTAATCTCGTTGTCTAGCGTCACATATAAATGAACCGAGTGATATATCAAACCCAGATAATTGACACGCAAAGGAAATCCATAAAAGTGTCTCACCTACACAGGTTCCGCCATAAAGGGTGTGTGTCCCAATGTAACTGCCCCTCCCAAAGGAAACAGCAAAAAAAGTGATCTTTATAGATAGCTAATATATCTATAACCTAGCTTAAAGATAGAGCTGTCTGTTAACAGGAGTTTGACTATATTAGAAACAGCTAGTATTTGTAACCTCGGTCATGCAGCCCGCTCATGTGTGCGTTTCTGTTTCTCCATCTGTAGCAAGCCGAGCAGCACAACATGCACGGACGCCTCACTCCGCGGTCCTTTCGGCTTCCCTCAGTCGAAACTGAGCGGAGCGCTCCTGGCGGGAGACAGAGGAAAGCTCGCCGACGAGCTGAGAGCCCGGATGAAAGATCTGCAGCCGCTGCCGACGTCGGCCGCCATGTTCGCGTCGACGCCGAACCACCTGAAGCGCGCCCACGCGGCGATGGACCCGCCGCCGCCGCTCGCATCGCCGAAGAAGCTGAAGGAAGGTTTCTTCTCCTCGCCGTACGACTCCCGCTCTCCCGGAGGAGGCGGCGGCGGCTATCCCGCTCCTCCCCCGCATCCTCCCGGCATGCTCTCCCAGATGTCAGTCTTCCCGATGCCGATTCGCGTGGCGACGCCCGCCGGATATCCGGCGGCGCCACCGATCAAGACCCAGGACACGCTGCTCACAAAGATGCTCAATGGAGAATCGAAGGAGGAGGTCGAGCGTTACTCTCCCGGAGAAGGGTACCGCCCGAGTTCCCGCGGAGGAGACTCCCAGGGTTCTCCCAACGGCGTACATTCGACGCGTGTTGGAGGAGGAGCAGGAGGAGGAGGAGGAGGAGGAGGAGGAGGGGGAAGGTCCCCGTCGTCGCAGGACAGTGTGTGCAGCCACCGCAGCACGAGTCCGAGATCTCGCGAGAGGAGTCACATGGCGGCGTGGAGCGTCGACGACGTGTACGAGTTCGTACGCAGCATCGATCTGTGCGCCGAGTATGCCGACGTAAGTACGGATGATGATGCTGCTGCTGGTGCTGCTGCTGCTGAGGATGATGATGATGGTGGTGGTAGTGGTGGTGCTGCTACTGCTGCTGTTGCTTCTGCTGCTGCTGCTGCTGCCTCTGCTGCTGCTGATAGTGGTGGTGGTGGTGGTGGTGGTGGTGGT